GGGGATGTGCTACCTATCCACAATTAGTGAAGAAAATAGGGTTTAAGTTGTAACCAGTCCCCTTGTTCACCACCATGATTAAGCATTCGAGTTTTAGCAGTGTGTTGTGTTTATTTCTCACTTTTTATAACTTTTTGGTTATTGTTACAACTTTTATGAATATGTGATGCCTTCTGACTAGAGATTTGTTGGGCACCTGTTCTAAGTATGGAAGGGACAGACCAATCTACATTGATAAATATATAAGTGAACCTGGACTGTGATGGAGGAATTGAAGTTATAGACAGGTGTTTGTCAAGTGGAAACCAAAAATGAATGATAAATCTTTCTGTTTAGTCTAAGTTTCTGATGAAGTTATAATTTGAATTGTCAGTGAGCAATAGTCATATGCTTAGTGTAAATCAGATATTTCTGCTTTGTAAATGTGCTGAAATTAATCTTATTATTGTAGAGGAGACTTTTGTGAGGGTAAATGGCACAGACATCGCACAACCTATTACCAGCCCAAGTTTACACGACTTGCAAGTTTATGGGATTATTGTGACAATCATCCTATGCTTCATAGTGTTTGGTGGAGTAAAAATGATCAACAGAGTTGCACCAGCTTTTCTTTTACCTGTGTTGTTCTCTTTGTTCTGCATATTTGTGGGTATATTCTTGGCAAGGGAGAATTATCCTACAGGTGTGTCCTTTGTTTTGCTACTCACTACTTTTTCTTTGTTTTCAAAATGAGATCTCGGCTTAATGCCTCTGGTTCTTGTTCTTGGGAACTTATGATGTTTGTCGTGAATCTGCTGTTTATATTCATGAAAGAGATATCACTGAATATTTGCAAAATCTGTATTAAAGGGTTATATTAGAATCCCATGTGATGCAGTTGAAGGACATAATTCATCGGCAGTGTTTTAGATTCTACGAAGCTTCCGTTGTTTGATTGGATGTTTATGATTTTACCATTAATCTCTAAAGGTCTGTTGACCATTGCTAGACTTATGTGTTCCAACAAATGGTACAGATGGAATCACTGGCTTGAGTTTGGAATCATTTAAGGACAACTGGAGTTCGGATTATCAAATGACGAACAATGCTGGAATACCGGATCCTAATGCGAAAATATATTGGAGTTTCAAGTAGGGATCCTGCTATTTCATTTCATTGGATTTGTTTTTTGTTTTTTCCCTGTTCTATTATTTTTGTCATAAACGTAATGTTTAAGTCCCATC